AATTAAAATTTACTGTCTTTTTAATGGTAATAATTTTCATAAGAGTATATAAAATAACATTTTTATCACAGCTTAACCTATTATTCTTATGATACAAAATACTTTTCAAATGGGTTGTAGAGATGAGATAATTTGAAATGAAACTTTAAAAAAGTTGTATAAAGCATAAGATGTCTTAAAACCTTGACTTTTTTATCTGACAAAATCATTAAATATTTTTGGCTTTCTTCATATGTTTTAATGGAAAGATCTTTTCAGGTGTCTCACTAACTGGTGACTGTACACTAATGTTGAGTTATTTATCTATCCTGACTGTACAACAACATAGGTATAAGCAGGTAGACATTTATCAATAATTTTGGAAATTTACTCAGCTATTCAAAAAGATTTGAAATTTTATTTTTCTTTGAAAAGAGAATTGCAGGACTGCAAAAATTACTTTTAATTTTCCTTGGTCCTGACAATAGATTTGAGTTGCATCATATGCATGTTTAACTTACTGAATTTAACAGTATTCTTTTGCAGCCCCTCAAAATGTATTTTTCCTAAACACTTGTCCCTGCTGTTCATTTAGGAGCTTATATGTGCTGTCTCACAATTAAAATTCCCATTTCCCTTATAGACTGTGAATATCTCACTGTACTGAGTGTGATTCTTACACAGAATATGCATGTTTTAAACAGCATGGCCCTATATGCAAACTAATGTCTTCATCTGGTGCTAGAAGTAATATTTTGCTTTAATAATTGAGTAAAACTTGCCTGTATTGAGCTTATTTGAGAGAAGGCAGAGTATGTTCTCTAACAGGTAACTCCCTAATCAAGAAAAATTGATGAACTGCAATTTTTCCCTCATAACCTTGACTTTGCAAACAAACCCAAGGGAATGGTTCTATTCAGTTACATTTAACAATGGTGTGATTTGTACTGTGGTCATTTATCACCTGAAAGAGTTATTTTGGGGTTGGAAAGTGAGAGAGATAAGAGATAATTCTCCTTTCCCATTTTTTTTTGTTCCTACCCCTGACCTCTATTTTCTTGTTTTCTCATCTCAAGATAAGAAAGAGAGGTACCTCTCTCTCAAGATACCTCTCACAAAAAGTTTTAAAATACCAAAATGGGGTTTTAAGAAGTTTTTGTGAGAGTTGAGGATTTGACTGTCCTTACAAAAGTAAGTGATAGAAACCATTGGTAGACTCCCAAAAGCACATGCAGATTTTATCTTAGCATGCATTTTACAAAATACTTCATTTGTATTCATTACTATCAGCCTGTTTCCTCGCATTCTCTGCTCCTTCCAGTACTACTTACTGTGCATTTTCCCCTTATTGTGTTTTTTTATAATTCTGAGAAATAAATTTTATGAAAGTATGTACATTTTCAGGTAAATAGCTTTATAAGGGAAATTATTGAATTCTAAATACCAATTATACAACAGTAAAAAGTAGTGTTTTCTATATTTAACTTAACTGTGTTTTATTGAGCATCTACCTTGCTGATGGCACTATTCTGGGTAACATTCAGAATGAAAGTGTATCACCATCAGTCACCAGGAGCAACAGCAGTTGCTAAATAATTCTTATTTTTATTCTCTCAAATTTCCTTTGAAAATTTATGTGTCATGGCTAGTGAGCAGGGAGCCAAGGATGAGCAGTGTCCCTGGACGCTGTCTTGAGGAACCCTCAAGATAGGGAGATAAACAGTTGAGGAAATTTTATTTTAAAAAATAGATGAAAAGAAATAATTCTAAATAATACAAGTTATTACTGTTTAAGGCTGACATCTGTCAGCATACTTTGTTAGAGGCTATTCTAGTTATCTACGGCTATATAACAAACCATGCTAAGACTCAGAGGCTGAAAAGAGTAACTTATTATCTTTACGGTTCTGTGAATTAGTTAATATCTGGGGACTTCTTACTTGGGGTCTCATGAAGTTGCAGTCAGACAGTGGCTGGGACTGGAGTCATCTGAAGGCCTGACGGCATGGATGCTTAAAATGGTTCCCAGTTGATGGTGGCTGTCAGCCAAGCCAGGTGGGGCTATCAATTGCATGTGTCTTGAGTTTCTCACAGAAAGGTGGCTGGATTCCTAGAGGGAGCATCCTAATAGCACATGTTCTACCTAGGTATACTCTACATGACTTCTTATGAACCGTCCTTCTCAAGACATCATTTCTATTATATTTGATTGGTCAAGCAGGTCACTGAGTTTAGCCCAGAATCATGGTGAGGTTAGACATTACCTCTCGATTCCTGAAAATTCTCTTTTCTGTTTCATCTGTGCCTTGAGAAGACAGCATTAGAAGCCACAACTCTATGAAAGTACTGCCCCTGTTTTTCTCACCCTCTCATGAATTAACTGCATGCCCCAGGTTTATGCATAAAAAGATAATTTTGCGGATGAACATAGTTTTTCCTGGAGTGCCCATATACCCAGTTTGCCTTGGATAATTCCAGCTTATGTCTTCTGTTCCTGTACTGTGCCCACTTGCACCCCGTTTCGTTCTCAGAAGGGTATTTACTTTGGATGAAAATTACACAGGCACTATGTTTTCAGTGTTCTTTTGTCATTGAGAGGATAATAGCCATAGTATACCTTCTTTAAATTCATGTATTATTATTAAACTTTTTAAAAATTATTTTATTGTTGTTCAGTTACAGTTGTCTGCCTTTTCCTCCCACCACTCCCCCGATTACTCTTAAACCTTTTAAAATATACTATTTTGATCATAATTTTTCATTAAATTGTAGGATTTCTCAAAATATAACTAGTCATACTATGTGTTTTATCATCTTGTGGAAATACTAAAAAACAATTAAAAATGCAAAAAGTAGAATGAAATAGTTAATACTAAATTTTTGTGGGCCACTTCTATTGTTGAATGCTGTCAGTTTTATACACAGTTCTGAAGTGATTTTTTTTAGCTTATATTTAAGAAGATACTGCTGTGTTGGAATACATAAAGTGTTCATCAGCACTTACAATCATTCTGATTGACTTTGCAGCTCTGTACTTTTTATGGCTCAGTAGCCAAGTTTGTTTTGGTGCCAGAGATATCTTTGCCTTGGTTTTAACAGTTCTTGTGGTAAGCCCTGGCCAAGTAGTTTAGTTGGTTAGAGTATCATCCCAATATGCTAAGGTTGCCAGTTTGATCTGCCAGAGCACATACAAGAAGCAATCAATGAGTGCATAAATTAGTGGAAGAAGAAGTCAATATTTCTATCTCTTTCTCCCATTCCCTCTCTCGCAAGAAAAAAAAAAAAAGAGGAAGGAGCAGCTGTGGTAAAATGTCCAAATAATATCAATGAAATACAAAGTGAAAGTTCCAGTTCAGATTCCCTTTTTCCGGATCCTTTCCAGAAGTCACCACAAGTTTAGATGCTTACTTTAAAAAAAGTGGTTTACATCCTGGCTGGGTAACATAGACCGTCATCCCAATACTCTAGGTTTGTGGTTTTGATCGCTGGTCAGGGCACAAAGAAGAATCAACTGATAAATTCATAAATGAGTGGAATAACAAATCGATCTTTCTCCTCCCCCCCCCCAAAATCAGTAAAAAATAAAAAAGTGATTTACAACCAATATACCAGAAATTTTACTTAAAAATGTGATGGTAAAGCAAATATAAATTTCTAAAATGTTCATTCACTGAGTTGAACCATCATTGGATTATTAATTTAATGATTTTAATAGTAGTATTCACATAATTCTCTTTATATGTGGCTTTCACCAGTACTTTAAAATAATAGTTTTGGGTTTTTTATGTCAACATAGTTTTCCTAACTGCATATATTAGCATGGTGTCACAGACTCTGGCTAGTAAAATATGTTCAACTGTGAAAAAGGCAAAATCTAAATACTAGTGTTATAGTATATAAGCATTGTGAAAATTGCAATGGTTTTAACCATTTTTAAGTGTACAATTTAGTGGCATTCAGTACATTTACCATGTTGTGCAACCATCACTGCTACCCATTTCTAAAACTTTTTCGTCATTCCAAACAGAAACTGTGTGCATTAATAAGAGCTCTTCATTCCCCTCTCCTCCCAGCCACTGGTGACTGCTATTCTACTTTCTGTTCCTATGTATTCTCTTGTTTTAGGTTGTTCGTATAAGTGGAGTCAAGCAACATTTGTCCTTTTGTGTGTTTGGCTCTTCAGAATATAGCTTTCAGTTTTTGCCCAGCCTTGTGGAGCTTTTTCCCACAGCAGACCTAAGTGGACTCCCAATCCCAGTATATAGACCTCTTTCTTCATATAGTTCCTTCTACTCTGTGCTACAAATTTTAGTTCCCTCAGCCTTCTGAATTCTGATTTCTGTCTGCTCAATTCAGAGAGATCATTGTTCTCTTCTTGAGATCTTCTAGCCACTGAGATCCAGAACTGCCTTTAGGCAGAAAGTCTGTATTGCTATCTGGAAGTGCCTCTAGGTAGAAGTTGAGGCAAAGATCTGGTTTATCTAATTTGTATTCCTTCCTAGAGATTATCATTGTGCACTAAACAGTTACCTCAATATACAGGGGTGGGCAAAAGTAGGTTTACAATTGTGAGTATGCAAACCACAGTTCATTCTTGTATTTTTATTTATTAATTATTGTATTATTTATTTGTATTACATCTGTAAACATACTTTTGCCAATCCCTGTAAATTTGGCTTACAGTTTTCTAGTTTTATAATTATTTATAGCAGGAATATAAGTCTGGTTCCAGTTATTCCACCATGACTAGAAGTGGAAGTTTGGTCTACCATTTTATTTTCAAAACTTTTTTCACACAGAATCAGCCTAAAGTACCTAATTTGTGATTGCTAAAGAAGAGAGTCTGTTAATCTTGTTTGAAAATTTAAAGGAACTTGTCAGTGTAGTTTTTCAATTGTGTTGTTAATGAAAATTAAACTTCTTTACCATATTCTTCCTTTTATATAGTAGTCTATTGCCTATTAAGGGGTGGGGGAAGCTGGATGCACTACTAATTGGTTGTTACATTTCTTATTTTTTAGACCTAAAGATTGTCTTCGGTCTATTATGAGGAGGGTGAACCATAAAGATCCTCATGTTGCTATGCAGGCTCTGACTGTGAGTGATATGATTTTAGGTTCTACCACAAAATTACCTGCTGAAATTGAGCCCTTTTAACTTTGGAATTTATACTTTTAGCTTCTAGGGGCATGTGTATCAAACTGTGGCAAAATTTTTCACTTAGAAGTGTGTTCAAGAGATTTTGCTAGTGAAGTAAGCAACGTATTAAACAAGGTAAGGAATGTTATTTTCAGAAATGAATTAAAACAGTCTTTTTTCTTCATACATTTTATTGTTCAGTTCCTCACATTTTAAATCACAAAGGACTAGTCTGTGCTTTTTTAAAAAAAAAATAACTCTTTCTAGGCTATGTCTATCTAATATATATGTAAATGTTATGTTTTACTGATGGCTACAAATTTACAAGTGAGTAAATTTGGTTTTACTCACTATGAGTAAATTGGTTTTTTCAAGCCAAATTAGAGTATGTTCAACTTCTTTTCTTTATCATTCCTTTCATCTAATAGGTAAATATGTGTATATTTCTAATTAAATAATACCAGTCAATTTTTAGGCAGTTTTTGTAATAATTTTTGTAGTCACAGAAATTATTTTCCTAATGTAGAAGTGTTCAGAAATGCTGCCAATATATGGCACTGTTGAGTTTCATCTTGATATGAATAAGGCCACTACCTGACCACCACTGGATTTTAATAGTACACTGTCTACCTAACTACATGTAGAATAAAGAATTCAAATCGTGCAATTTAAGGACTTTAAAACATTTAAATTCTAAGTAATATGTGAGTTTTCCCAGTAAAAGAAAAGTGCATTCTAAAGGTAGGTATTTCTGGCTTTTTTTGAGGAGGAGGGATGCATTATGTGTCAAGAAAAATTTTAAAGTGTTAAAAGGGAAAAGTGCCTTTTCTAAAAAAATTTAGTATATTAGGTTTTCATAGAAAACAGTATAGAAATAACATAAGAATTTAAAATACTGTGCTTATTTTCAAACACGATTACATAATTTCTTTCTTGTTCTGCTTTAAAGTTAAGTTATATTGTGTTGGCCAAAATGTTTGTTTTTTTCCACAAGATGGCTGTAGTAGCACTTGTCTTTAACTTCATTCGAAACAATTTTGTTAGATTGTATTGTGACAGCTGTCATATCAGCATGCATTAAAAAACTTATCAAAATTGGTGAATTTTTGTGAAGCCATTGCAATATTGAAGATGGAAGAAAATATACAGCATTTTTGGCATATTATGCTTTATTATTTCAAGAAAGGTAAAAACACATCTGAAACACAAAGAAAGGTTTGTGTAGTATATGGAGAAGGTGCTATGACTGATTGAATATGTCAGAAGTGGTTTGTGAAGTTGTGTGCCAGAGATTTCTTGCTGGACAATGCTCCACAGTTGGGTAGACCAGTTGAGGTTGATAGCGATCAAATCAAGACATTAATTGAGAATAATTAACCTTATATCATGTGGAAGATAGCTAATGTACTCAAAATATCCAAATCAGTAAAGTTATCAGTGAAAATGCAAAATGTGTCTTTTATTTTACGGAAAAAACTAGACGAACTTTTTGGCCAACCCAAAATATTTAGCTATTTTCTACTAGTTAATAATCATTCTTTTAATATCCTAAATATTCACCACAATGTACCACTGTTTATGAAAACATGATAATGTTTTCTATAATTCAGTTGAAGATATAGTAATCAAACTTGTACTTAGTAACATGAACAAGTATTTTGAAAAACAGCTATGTACGGGAGAAAGGACTTCTCTTTATGTCCAAATATTTTTTATCCAAATATTTTAGAATATGCTGGATTTATACTTTAGGTGAGCTATTATTTTGAAGAAATAAAGTTTCTAGGGATAATGTCATGTGCTGAACCTCAAATCAGATCTTAAATAATTAAGCAACTTGGGAAAAACACATGGTAATGCACATTAAAAGTCAGGAACTAGGAATAAGGGAAGTGCACCATTTATTGTTCCCAACTTATTTTTATAATATTGGTCTACAAAGAACAAAACAATTTTCTTTGTCTTGCTGATGTACAAAGCTTGTCTAGTTGCAAAATACTATCAAAAGTTCTGTCTTTCTGACTACCAAAATAAGTTATTACATATTTAATCTGTTTGAATTTGATGTGAGGTATTTATAATGGTATCTTCTCTTGTTTGTTCATAGTGAGAAAATAAAATTAGTTTATTTTTAATAACCAACTATAGTTACTTATATATATTGTCTATACATAAGTTGTGATTTTAAAAGAGATCTATAATACTTCATAATTTTTATATTTAAGATATCTATATTAAATCACTGGCCAGGAAATCAGTACTTTTTTTATTAATTTATTTCTTGGTGTGAAAAACTTTAATGAAAACATTACTCATGCAAAAATTAAATAACAGAACCATATAAATGACCTAAAATTCAAACAGATTTGGCTTACTGATATTTCTCTATCAGCTTATTTTCATAAGAATTGATGATTTCCAGATAAACCTTACTAATTTTTTTCTTTATTTTTAGGGTCATCCTAAAGTGTGTGAAAAATTAAAGGCCCTTATGGTTGAATGGACAGATGAATTTAAGAACGATCCACAGCTTAGCCTAATATCAGCAATGATTAAGAACCTTAAAGAACAAGGAGTTACATTTCCAGCTATTGGTTCTCAGGTATTTTGTAAAGTTGTATGTGTGCTACAGTTTATTTTTCTAAAGTAGCCATGTTTATTTGAGTTGTTTTTCCCTCCAAACCCAGGTAGCTTTGGAATTTTTTTCTTCTTCTTCCTCTTCCTCTTCCTCTTCCTCTTCTTCTCCTTCTTCTTCTTCTTCATCATCATCATCATCTCGCATTTAGAGGTGCCAGAAAAATATAGGGTAATATTAACATCTCCCAACTTCTACTTTCCCACTGTTTCTCCTTCTTTATAAATGAATTAACATCTTGTAATAAAATTTTAAAATTTAGTTTTAATAATATAGACAAAATTACTTTATCATACTGGGTAGTACAGTCTTGTTAAATGCTCTTTATACTGACGTTTTATATACAAAGAAAGACAGTTCAAAAATCAGGATATCCTTAAAATTGAAGGATGAGTATAGAGGTTCTTTTGACTATGAAATTTTTGAGTAACTATATTAAAAGCGGGAAGGAAATATAAGGAGTTAGTGGGAAGAGAAGCACATGTAGCATCTTTTCCCTTAATAAAAACATCTTTTTTCCCTTCTCCTAATAAATATGATTAACTGCAAGCTTAAGCTTCCTTCTCAAAAAAAAAATATGTTATGGACCAATCTCTAATTTGTGTCATGAAAAATGAAAAGGTATGTCTTGTTCTTTTTCTGTTATGGATAACTATCCTTCAAGATACACAGCTAATCAAGGGGGATTAAAATATGTGGTAATTTACTATACTGTATTTCCCCACTGTGTGGATTGAGTAGTATAAAACCATGAGCAGAAAACTCAGTTGGAGGGCTTCCTTCATCCAGACTTACGCAGACTTTCTTCCCAAGGTGCTTCTAATCTGTGTACTCTTAAACTGTGAAGAACCAGGAATATACTTGGGAGAGCAAAGAAGGAAGGCTGTTTTTCTTTTTACTTGAAAAAATTAGACTTATGAATAGTTTTGTAACGATAAATAATATCGTTTAGAAGTATTTACTTATAATTGACAGCTGGCTTTTACTACTCAGAATAATTTCTAAAATTTGTATAATTAAGGGATAATTTTACGCAGAATAATCCAATAGTCTTATAATAAGTTTCTTGACAAAAAAGTAGTGTTCATTTATCAAAGTACATTCACCACAAAGAACCAAAGAGTATAGATGCTTAGTGGAATTGCAGTTTCTATACACAGAGAACCTATTCTAGAGCTTGTTACTCAAAATGTGGTTCATTGACCATCATCATCATCACCATCTAGAAGCTTGTTAGAAATACAGCATCTCAGTTGCCATTCCAGACCCTTGGATTTATTATCTTCACTTTAAGAAGATTCCTGGATGATTCTGTATGCACATTGAAGTTTGAGAAGCAGTGTTCTAGAGTACAGCTTTCAGTGCTGTGAAAACTGCATATCCGTCCACCCAAAGGACTTATTTCTGTAAGAGAAGGAAGAAGAATTAATTATCTGTTTGATATGTAGCAATGTTCAGTTAACCCAGAATCTCAGGTAGTTGTGAGAACAACTTTAGGGACTCTCTAACATAATCCCCTGATTTTGCAGATGAGGAAACTGAGACCCAGAATGATTAAGTGACTTGCCCAGGGCCACAGCTAGTAGTTGACAGAGCTGGAAGTAGAACACAGGCTTCCCAACTCTCAGTCCAGTGTTCTTTCCACTACATGATCCTGCCTTCCGTTTGATATAGAGGTTAGTAGATATTTGTCTGTCTGGACTAGGCTTCTAAGGACAAGAAGTGGAGTGAACACTGGCAAGAGCATTAATTTATTGATTGGTGTAGAAGTTAGGTTACTGTCCTGTTCAAAAGATTTAGGACATAGATCAGTAACAGTGAAGTGAAGAGTTACTTTTCTTGTTTTTGTCAAGATGTCATAAAATATGTAAAAGCTAATTCTGTTATAGTTGCTATCTTTTAGCCACAAGAAATATATAGAATACATACAAAGTAAAATATGATGAGGTAGAATGGTGATTTTTTTATAGTAGAAATGGTTTCTACTATAATAGAAAATGGTGATTTTCTGAAAAGTGTATCATTGAAAACTCTGTAGAGAACTTCATGTTTAATGAAAAAATGTATCATCTAGGTTCAACTGTAGAAGTCCCTGTAAATTTTGAAGTCACTTAGTTGTTTGTCCTTAAATTTAGTCAGACTAGGCCTTTGTTGACATACTTAACAGAAGCCTTTGAAAATATAAAGATTTTTCAAGTATATTTTTTATCCATGTACAGAAAAAATATAAAAATATTAAGAAAAGTCATGTTAGTCACTGAATAACTTTTATGCTGCTGTGTTTTTTATAGCAGTAATTTTTGACGTAAAATAATGCTATACTGTTACTGTATTTGGCTAGTTAATAAGACAAGTATCACTACTACACTTAGAACCTAATGATAGAAAGGAACTTTAAAAAGTGTACAATTTAGGGATGCAGGCCTTTTAATGCACCTTGTCCTGCACTGCCATCTGGACCAATAGAGGTTTTTTTATAGACCACAAAAGTGTCTGTTTTATGAAATGCATCAAAGTGTGGAAAAAAAAAATGTTTACATCATGAAAAAGGTTGTCCCTGACCAAGAGTACTTTTCAGTTTTCAGAGTCACATAATGATTAAAGTACTACAACAAGAGGTGGATCAGAATTGAAAGTGCTTCAAGTTCAATTCAGTGAACTATAAAAATCTTTTTTCTAATCAGCTTTCTAAAAATAAATGTCTTGTGCATTTGTTTGACATTATAAAATACGCGAAGTGAAAAATACAGAACTGTATTTTATTGTCATATTTTGCCTTTGATTTATTCAACAGTTATTTAAAAATTAGCATTCCATTTATTGTATTATTTAATGTAAAATGTAGAAACCCTGCAACAGTATAGGGTTTACCTACTCCCCACTTCAGTATCTTATATTCATCTTATGTATGCCATCTATTCTTACATACATTATAAATCCTGGGAGACAGTGTTACACTTTTTGTTTTAAATCCCAAATGGCCTTCATCTTATCTGATTTTGAAAGCTGCATGTGTTAATTTAGTCCTCCTAATATCCTATAGTGTTGTAGCTGCTGCTGTTGTACTCATTTTGTAGGTGAGGACCTTGAGGGACAAAGAGGTCAATGTACCCAAGGTTATACATTAGAATGTGGTGGATTTGGCATTTACTCTCATGTTTGCTGACTCCAGAACCTTAACTACCCATATCACAGTACCTTGTTTGAAAATGTTACCGGAGGAATACAGAGGGAATGCTTAATTAAGGGGCTTATGGATGTTTCACTGAGAAGGTGATATGTTAGCTGTTTACTGGTGAGTTGAAACTGGACAGGGAAAAATGTGGGTGGAGTAAAAGGGGTCAGAGGGGAGGACATTTTAAGTACAGGCAAATGTGTGTCAGAGGTATAAAAAGTACCAGTATATATGTGTGTTATATATGTATATGTGTGTACATATGTAGGTATATATTGCATGTATGTGATACGTACATATGTGTGTGTGTGTGATGCATCTATATGATACACACACACAGTTTCTGGTAACTGATAGAATGGTTAAAATAAAACTAAGATTGGCTGGAATCTTATTTGCCTTGATTGCCACGGAAAAACTTAAGAGGTCAGTGAGGCTTAGAAAGATTATCATTTCATAAGCATGAATCAATTTATGTATTTATTTACTTGTATACTACATTATTTACAAAATCTGTTTAAGCTGGACAGTAATATATTCCCAGAATTAAGTTTCTGTATTTTGGTTTGCCAAATAGTATAATTTTATGGACATTTATATTATATATAAATCTCAGTCCCTAAAGATAACATCCTGACTTTTGACCTGAAAGCAAGTAATAAAATACAACTCTTAAATACATATTTAAATTTTTTAAAAACTATGTGTTTTTTAAATAGTCATCTACCTCCCTCTGTCAGCTCCTTTTCTTGTTTTAGAAGTTTTCTAGAAATTTTAAAGTCTCTAGTCTTTCTTTTTGGTTTGTGTATTGTCTGCTTTTAGTTTTAACATCTTTACACAAATCTGTGACACTGTTATTAGGCTGTTGGCTCTAAATGTGCAATCACTCTGAGTCAGTTTTCTCCAGTGCTAACTCCTGCTCTTTTCACGCTGCTCCAGTTGGATGTCTTTATTCTTCAGAAGTTTGTTTTGGATTGACAATAAGGTTCTTACTCCTTTGTAGACAAGATGGGGTAGGGATATTTGAGATCAACCCTCAAATATGGTGTTTCTTTTTTTGTGTTAGGCTGCAGAACAAGCAAAAGCCAGCCCAGCTCTGGTAGCCAAGGATCCTGGTACTGTGGCTAACAAAAAAGAAGAGGAAGACTTAGCAAAAGGTATGTCTTTAAGTCCCTGATGGTAGCAAGAAGATAGGTCTCTTACTTGATATTTTTTCCCTGAGATATTTTAAAATATAAGAAATAGGACTTTACAGCTAAAGCTGAAGTCTACTTTGTTCTCCTCCGTATCACTTCTTTCTTCTCCCCAGGCGACTGCTATCATGTATGTCATTTCGGTCAATATTTTTACTACACAATTTACTCATAAATATCCTAAACGGTACCAAATACTTTTGTGTCCCACAAAATTTTTTTTCATAAATAGTATATTCTAGGTACCATCTACCTACAGCCTACTTTCATGTGCAGCATTTGGGGTCTGTTCATGATTAAGACATATAAACCAAGTTTATTTGTTTTAACTGCTGTATAATATTCTAGCATACTAATAAAAACTTAGTATAATTTAGCTGCCTACTGATAGACATTGTGTTTTCTGGTTTTTATTATTTTCTATAACAAAAATGGTATGCTGCATTGAATTTCCTTGTACATGTTTGTGTGGCGGGGAGCAGGAGACTATATTGTGTGACTAAAAGTGAAGTATTATTGGCTTGTGGAGAAGGCACATCTTCAGCTTGGCTAAATAGTTTTATTTACTCTTCCATCAGCGGTATATGAAAGCTATTATTATGCTTAACCTACTGACAACATTTGAGATTGTCAGAGTTTAAGTTTTATGAATCTGATAGGTTTGAAATGATGTCCCATTATTTTAAATTTTATTTCCTTTATTCCTAGTGAGGTTCAGTTCTTTTGTATGTTTATTAGCTGTTTTGACTGTCTCTTTTTCTGTTGAGTCTCTTTTAAAAAAACATAATGATATGTTTTTACATATTGTCTTTATTTTGGATGCAGATCTTTTGCCTGTTATAATAGATATCTACCCTTGATTTTTGGCTTATACTTTAACTTTGATAATGGTGTGTTTTATCAAACAAGTTTTAAATTTTGATGTAGTCAAATTTTTGTTTTTGTGTTATTTTTGCTTTTTTATGTCTTAAGATATTTTTTCTACCCAAGATCCTAAAAGATATTTTTCTGTATTTTTTAATAATAGTTTTAAAAGCCCTGGCTGGTGTAGCTCAGTGGATTGAGTGCAGGCTGCGAACCAAAGTGTCGCAAGTTCGATTCCCAGTCAGGGTACATGCCTGGGTTGCAGGCTATAACCCCCAGCAACCGCACATTGATGTTTCTCTCTCTCTCTCTCTATCTCCCTCCCTTCCCTCTCTAAAAATAAATAAATAAAATTTAAATAATAATAATAATAGTTTTAAGATTTTGTTTTTTCAATAAGTCTTTTATTGATCTAGAACAGAGGTGAAGTAAGAAGGGGTTAAGGGTTGATTTAAAAGCAGAGTAATCAGTCCCTTAAGATTACACTGCAGAGCCTGAGTGACACGTGGTGATGTGATGGCTTGCACCGGGGAAGGAGTGGCAGAGATGGAGGAGGTACATTTGAAATCTATTTTCAGGAATTCGTTAGTTGAGACTTTATTGTAGTTATTCTAAATTCCAATTCCTACGCTGATTATGTAAGAATTATCTTTGGAGCAATAAAATACCAGCTCTCAGCCACTACCTTTGAGGCTCTTAGTAAGTTTGCAGTGAGGCTTGAGACTCTTTACTTCCCAAGTGATTTTGATTATCTTTTTGGGAACTTAAGCAATAGGAATACATTAAAAAGATAAAAGAAAATATAGCTGCAGATAAAATTTTTAAAATGGATTTAAGAGTTTATGAGCTTTTATTACCCAGAATTATTTAAATTGTATTCATTCAGTAAAAATTGTCATCATGCTGTTCAGTTTTTTAGTTTATTTTTTTTTTGAACTTTCAGTAGTGAATGAATGAATAAAATAAATGAAATGATTTTTGTTTAGTATATTATGTCAGGATATGTTGTAGTTTCCAGTTACACTATTGAGAGAAGAATACTTTTTTACCTTCAGATATCTTTTGTACCTTACTGGATTATCGGTTATATTAACATTTTGGGTCTTTTTAAACCTATTGTTTTCTAGCCATTGAGTTGTCCCTGAAGGAACAAAGGCAGCAGTCCACCACCCTTTCCACTTTGTATCCAAGCACATCAAATCTCTTAGCTAACCACCACCATGAAGGCCGAAAAGTTCGTGCTATATATGACTTTGAAGCTGCTGAAGATAATGAACTTACTTTTAAAGCTGGGGAAATTATTACAGTTCTTGATGACAGGTGATGGAACATTCATATGAAAATATATAACATGTTACTTCTGCGTTTAATTATATTCCTGTTGGATACCGTCACCAAATGCCATGAAAAAATGTTGATCCATCTCTTTTCTTTGTATGATAGTTGGCTGCTTTGCTTATGTCATACTAGCTTCATTCTTATTTTGTAGTTTAATTTTTTTCTATCTATAATATTTAAATAGTTCTAATTTTTTGGAACTATTTTTAGAAAGTTTGTCAAGATTTTTAGGAAGTATGTCAAGTATGTATATGTATTTATGAAATTTGTAAGGTACACAATATAGTGAATTTATTTATCATTTAGTGTATTGTTTGGAACAAATTCATTTTAGATGGAGTTTAATACATTTATATTATCATAGGGGAGGGGATTCAATGCATCTGTCTTTTACTACAGCTTTATGTTTATGTGAAAATCATTATTAATAATGAAGTACTAAATTACTAAATTTTGCAGATGGCTTTTAAAAAGAAATTCAGATAGATTTAAGGTTATTTCTGTAATACCACTCTATAATATAATTTCTTGAGTGGAAGAAAATGAAGTTACATTTGAGCTGTTTTGCTGGAAATTGCAGAAAACCTTGATGATTCATTCATTTAAATTATTTATTGAGAGTTTGCTAGCTTTTCTTATACCACACACTGGGGTATAGTGAAGAACATGAGTATGTACCTTCAAGTGTGTTCCTTGTGAACATTTCGTGCTATAAACAGTGTTATCTGTCATATGTTTTTTCTTATGGATAAAAATTGGCTGATATTAACTAGGTAGAGCACTGATTTAAGAATGGACACTTTGATTAAGATCCTTCCACATATCTTATTAACCAAAGATTCTTGCATTGGAGAGCCCATGAACCACCTGAAGTTGACAGTTCTTAAGTGCAGGGACATCTTTTTGAGGGGAGAGAGTTCAGAACTTATACTAGATCCTCAAAGCCTTCACCAGCCTTCTGAATGCTAAAGAGCTGTGTGTTTAATAACTTTTTTTTTTCTCTGAGTCCTCATCTGTTATTTATAATAATGGTACATTCATTTCACTCTTCACTGGATTGTTGTGGGATTTAAATCTGGCTAATAATGTAAGTTGAATGTTATAAAAGGGGAAGATTTATAGAAATAAAAGTCTTTATTAATAGTCTTTTTTGTTGTTGTTCCTCATAGTGATCCTAACTGGTGGAAAGGTGAAACTCATCAAGGCATGGGGTTATTTCCCTCTAATTTTGTGACTGCAGATCTCACTGCTGAACCAGAAATGAGTAAGTATTTTCTAGTCTGTCAGTGGATGATAATCGATAATCCCCTTCTTAATGAAAATTGAGTAAATTAGACTTTCTGGAGCAGGGACTTTCAAATGTTAGTGCCTTCAAGGTGTTCATTATAAATGCATCTTCCTGGTCAGTAGATTATTTACCAGAAATCATCTAAATATTGTAAGCATCTGTCTACCCAGATTATCTTTAGAGAGACTATGAACTTTTTCTTAGGAAAGAAAACATATATATCTATGCACACACATATGTATGTACATAGTGCTATTATAAAAATGCACATTAAAAAGTGTTAATGGAATTTATGTATTAGGTATTTTCATTATCATCAGTTGATAAAAGTGTGACAAATTCAGTGTAACCCCATAGAGAATTCTTCCTATTTAAGGGTGAGACCATTTCTCTGATGTTCTAGCCTCAAACTTGGAAGCTGTGGCCTCTGGGCAACAATAATGACTATAGTAAACCCTAATGTCAGATATTCAGAAGTGGCCATAACTAATCATAAAGTTTTGTGTTTGGTTTCCAAATCTTTTCCCACTAGGAGAAATAAAGTAGAAAAGCGGGGCTAAGGAAGAAGTGTGTTACTGACAGGCATGGTGGTTGCAGGGGATGTAACTGGGGGTAGCCTATCCAACATTGGTAGACAGTTGACTGCACTTCTCCATAATCCTGTACTTGAATGGATCGTCATAATAATGTTTGAGTCATCGAGATTAAGTAGTAACCTTCCTCTGTTTAAGGAAACAAACATGTTTTTGTCTAGAAAGATTGCTCTAAGTGATTGAAATGTTTAGAATTTCCAAAGAATTTTTGTATTAAGTTGGTAAGCTACAGTTAATGGCAGAATATCTTAGCTTAGCTCATCTGTCTATACAATGACAGGTAGAAGAAATCAAAGTTATAGATTGTAAAATGCTTAGGTCTTTTTTAGTTTACAAGAATTTTAAAAAGAGATCTTTGTGTTAGTCATCTTTTCATTTCCAATAACACAAGTACTGAATCTTATCCAGAATGCAAACTATATATGTAAATAGTTATAAATTATAAGTAAATATATATAAAGAGATATAGATAGGTCAACAATAAAGACATAATTTTCTTTAGAAACAAAAACACTTCTCTTTTAAGAGAAGGCTTTTACAGCAAGCCAGGCATTACGAATCTTTGATAAAACAATGCCCTCTTACAGTTACTGCCAGGTTGTTTTTTGACATTTTTATAGAGACAGATTTCTGATACCCGTTCCTGTTTAATGGAGTTCTTTGTCATTAGAACTCAAAGAAACATGTTGTAGAAGCTTTTTTAAATATGGCAGTGTGTACTGTGCTGATTTTTAGCCTGGGTTGATGGTGGTGCTTATTTTTGTTTGTTTTGGGGGGTTTGGGTTTTCTTATCGTAAATCAACTGTTCTGCACTTCTGTTCAGGATGAGATCCAAGAGTTCACATAGATCATCTAGCCATCTCTTCTTTTTTCTCTTATATAGCATTGCAGCTTTAAAATTAGTATTACACTTCACCTCACGTGTTTCACTCTGAAACACCTAGAAGAGAAACAGGAGCATCAGAGCTTAGGTAATTGTTTTAGTTCTTGAGTTTGATAAAATGAGTGCTAGAGTAATCCTTGTAGCATCACTTTTTATGAAGAAACAGAAATCTACTTCACTAATGTGTCAGGTAGAAACACCTGGCCTTCTTAGCTTGTTTTTGTTTTGGAAATACAGTTAGATGTTGCAAAAGCACTTTATCTTTTACATAAGTAAATATAATATTTTATATATGTACAGATAATGTGCACATACACATGTGCACATAGCAATAGTATTAGTTCCTATGAGAAAAAAAAACACTGCAAATTTGTGCATGGTTAACTGTTAGGATATGAAGTCTACCTTGTAGACTGTCTCTTATGGGTAGCAGACAGTACAGTGTTCTCCCAGCTTTCTACTCGTTACTTGTTAGTAGCTCAGGATATAAAAAGCAGTATGTATAGCAGATGTCTCTTTATTCCCCCATGGGGAAATGAAATGAGCTGAAACTCCTTTTTGTATGTAGAATTTTGCTTTATGGTTACTTGGAAGGGATGAATTACACTATTTCCATTATATGTGGAATCACACAACACAGAATATATAAGTGATGTGACTTCTTGTTCTCAGAGTAAAATCACAAGCCAGATTCTGGTACTGTGGGCTAGTAGAGCCAGATGGATTGGCATTCAAGTCCAGGCTTTGCCGTTCATTAGATTTCACCTGTGCAAGAATTGATACTCTTTCTAAGCCACTGTTAAACCTCATTTATGGAATGAGCACATCTCATGATATTGTATTATAGATTCGTTGGAGGAAATACATGTATTCCATTAAGCACATTTAATAATTTAATAGATACTATTTCCCTTCCTTAATTCTACCCTGTGCCCGCCCCCCTTTTATCTTGATTCTTAAGAATTTTATGAATACTGACTGACGGTGTTGATGCAAGGATGAAAAATTCAGAGAGGAAATTCATTTTGTTTAAGCTGTATTATGCCTGGGGATTCTTTTGGAGAAGGTTAATTGCTATGTTAATTATATCCTTATGTGTACTAATTAATGTTATATTGACTAGATTTTTAAAGTGTGCTTTGTTGAACAAAGGAAATACGTGCTTCTGGTCAGTGGTTTTTGGATCCATTAGTAATCATTTTTTCATTGCAAAGCATAATGTAACTTAAAAAAACACAAGATGATATAATGGAAAATTCAGATCCCTGCCAAGGCCACTCATCAAATCCTCCTTTGTCTTGGATGTCATTCTCTTAGTAAGTCATGGTGGCATGCTGGAGAACATACACCTAACTTCCCCCAGTTCATTGCATTGAAATAGCATGGTCTGTCTATCAAATGAGATTTTCCTTTGAAAACATGGGTAATTTAAAAAGAGGTTTTATTTGAAGTTACATCATTCATTTATGCCATTGTAAAACTTTGCTTTTTGTTCAGCAATTTACTAAACTCTCTTGTATAATAGGTGATTAATCTTTTTTTTTTTTTTTTTTTTTTCAGAAATATATGTCTTATTTTTTGTTAAGTGTCTTCTATGGAAAATGTAAAATATTTAGAAGAAAATTTAAAAAATCTTGACATGAAGTAATGTTCTGTCATTATTGCCTAAATCAGCTACCTAATTATTCTTTAAATTGAGTCTCTCAGCTTAAGAGAAGTAGTTAAAAAACTCATATCCTCTCTTGAAACTTAAAGTGTTTTCAAATAGAACTTTAAATTTGTTATAAGGAAAAGGTAAATATTGCATGTTTTACAGTAAAAACGGAAAAGAAGACGGTACAATTTAGTGATGATGTTCAGGTAGAAACAATAGAGCCAGAACCGGAACAAGCCTTTATTGATGAAGTAAGTGATTTCTTCCATAAGAGTAGTTTGTACTTGGTATTGAAGTTGAAATGTTTTTCTTGTCTTCTTTTAAAAAATTATTAATGCATGTATTTTGTTACAAGAATATAAACAATAGTCCTGTTCTTACCATGGCAACACATACAGTTGTACCTTGTTATTTTAAATTTCTGCTTAATATTTTATACAATGGATATATCATGATTTGATTATTCTCTTGTTGACACTAAGGTTGTTTTCAGTTTTTTTGTGTGTGGTGTTTTTTGCTATTACAAAGGACTGTTGTGAGATTTTGGGGGGATGTATTTCAAAGAATGTATAACTTTTATTTTACACTATCCATATTTAAAGCTCTGGAAATTATATTCTTGGTAACATTTTAAACTTATGATGAAAAATGAGATATTATTTAAAGTCTGTGATGGGATTTATAGATTTTCAGCTTTCTTTTAGGGGAGTCAGAAGCAGAATGCTAAAAGAGTTCTTTTTTAGAGAAATAGATTGTAGAAAACTGCTAGGAGCCACAGAATCCAGTTGATTCAGGGAAAGTTAATTAGCATAAGAAATGCATGTAGGATCAGTTTAGGAGTTTGTGTAGATACCTTATTTTTCTGATAGTAGGTAATTTCTCTATGGTGTAGTATTCTGTAAACAATAAAAGTTATTCACATATTAGTTGTTCTTTCGTTTTGTAAACCTCTACTTTTTTTGTTGTTGTAGGCAAACTTTTCTGACATGTGTCTTCTCTTTTAGACTACTTAAATGAAAATTGTGATTCTTTTACTTAGAAAGTAGTACCCATTTCAAAACATAAAATTCTTTTGACTTCAGAAGTTTTCTTAGACACTGTGTCACTCTTGCTCTAGTAATTCATCTCTCAAACTGTTCTTTTATTATAATACAGAGTTTTTGTTTTGGGTTAAGTAACTACCTTGCTTGAATTGGTAGTTTTTACTTTATTTACCTAATGTATATATGTTTAATAGCATTACCACGTAAAAATCATGGAGAAATTTTGTAATTATTACAGTAGTATCCTTTGGTGTGAGATTTGTATTTTGACTTAAAAACCTAAATATAAATACTGTGTATTTATATAACTTATAGAGATATTTATATAATGATGGTTTCATTAGTCCCATCGGTTATTACAACACAAGATTCTGAAATAGATCTAAGTCATTGCCTCGAGATGCCTCCCAGCCTTTCTCACATAGGAAAATAGAGAAACCACACACTGAAACATTGGTGGAATGAAAATGTAGACTAAGTCCCAATGGCCCCACATAGAAAGAAAACAGCTGTACTGTAGTTGAGCTATGCATCAGTAAAATAGCTGTTGTATTCACCCTGGGAGAGAAGAAATAACGGAGTTGTTAGTCATAAGTAATGCCATCTTGAGAGAGAAGTTACACCTGTTAGCATGTCAAGGCCACAACTACTTCAAAACAAAGTGCAGTTAACTACCATGACATGAGAGATTGAAGAACTCACATGCTGTAACTTTAAATGTAGTTCTATTTCTTCTCATTTAAGAGAATTTCTATAAGCAGTTCCAAAAACAAGTAGGTAGAACTTGCAAGGTTCTAACTTCACATATACTTAAATACCAAGTGCATAAAACCAAAATTTGAGTCTCCATATCTGTGAATTACAAAAGTTCTGTCTCCATTTTCTGATTTACAAAGTGAGAACCTATTGTTGCGTAACGATTTGTTGCTTTTTATACTAACCATTTAATTCCTGTAGGATAAAATGGACCAATTGCTACAAATGTTGCAAAGTACAGATCCCAGTGATGATCAGCCAGATCTTCCAGAGTTACTTCATCTTGAAGGTAAACCTTGTTTTTCATTTACCTTGCAAATAAGGATAATTAGTGTATATCTACTGTTATATATAGAATGCTTTATATTTCAATAAAATTGAGAATAACATAAAAAATACTAACATTTCTCACTCTTCTGTGACCCAGTCTCACATTTATAAGCCATTTAAACTTAACTGGGGTAGTATTCACATGCTTACACTTTTGTATCCACATTAAATATTTTATTCAAAATATCCATATATTTTATTCAATATTTTAGAATGTTGTAAAATAAATATTGGTATTTTAATATTTTTGAGATTAAGAAAATCAATTTTGGCTTCTCTGGTCTATGATTTATTAATCCAATTTTTATTACTCTAAGTTATATCTTGTATTTCTTGACTATGTGAATATTCATCAGATATTTGCATTTTTTCCTGTGTTTTCTTATATTTCTTCAAATCTTGTTATCTAAGCAATGTGTCACCAGATGGGACCTCTCATTGATGAAAAGCTGGAAGATATTGATAGGTAAAAGAGCATGTGCCCTCTCTATAGTGTGTACCTTTTTCCCTGAAGTTCTCTGTAAATTGCATACTGAGACAGAGCCGCCATTTTATTTTACTTTATTAATATTTTTGTGTATTTATTTTATTTTACTTCTTCATTTTTCTATTCCATTTCATTTGATTTACTTTATTTTGATTTTTTTATGCTTATTATTTTTATGTGCCAAAGGAATCAGGTCTCATTTACTTGTTTTCTACTAGATGTGGGAATTAGAATTAGACTCATCTCTTCCTTTATTTTCTAAATGAGGATTTATTAGACCTTCACTGTATTAGTCTTTTTAAAAAATAAAGGTTAACTATTATAATCATGTTTGCTATAAGTATCTTTACCAAAGCCCAAATGGCCCATCTGTTATTATCTAGGGAACCCTAGACATTTCAAAGTAAAGTCATATACAATAAGCTCTCCCAGCCTAGTACCTAAATCTTAATTTTGATTGCCTTGCAGCTAAAATACAGGATGTTTTCTGGCACAGGTTAAATTTTTAATAATGTCTGTTTATACCACTTTTTGCTATTTTTTAATGTGTGGTTTTTTTTTAAGATTTTTTGTCTATTTATTTTTAGACAGAGGGGAAGGGAAGGACAAAGGGAGGGAGAGAAACATCAGTGTGTGGTTGCCTCTCACATGCCTCCTACTGGGGACTTGGTCTGCAACCTAAGCTTTTGCCCTGACTGGGAATTGAACTGGCAACCCTTTGGTTTGTAGGATGGCACTCAGTCTACTGATCCACACCAGTCAGGGAGCTATTTTACCTATTTTGTTATGTCTTATTATTTAGAACATTGTATTATTTAAATAGCAATATGTTTCAAATTATTGTATAATATTTCAGAAAACATTCAGAACTCTCAGAGCTTAACGTTAAAGTGATGGAGGCACTTTCACTATATACCAAGTTAATGAATGAAGACCCAATGTATTCCATGTATGCAAAATTACAGAATCAGCAGTATTATATGCAATCATCTGGTGTTTCTGCTTCTCAGGTAAGCCTTTAAAAACTCAAGTATATCATTTTAAATACTCAAAATGAGAAACTTTCTGTAGTTAATGTTTAAAATAAAAATAAATTTTAAAAGAATTTTTTACTTGACAAATACAATGTATAATATATAATTATATCAATAGTTCTTTTTCAGAAAAGTTATTTTTCTGCAGGGGTACACATCAGACTCATTCATCAAGTTTTTTGAAAAAAATACAGATGCTTGGTGCCATCCCAGACCTGTTTGAATCATAATCCTCAGGAGGGAGACCCAAACATCTGTATATTTTTAAAACTTTATATGTAATAATCTGGTTAAGAACTGTAGTTTTTGTCTCAGTAAAATTTCTAATTATAAATTCTTTTGAGTGTCTACTGTTTTCAGTTTTATAGGAAGCTACTTTAATCTAATTTTACCCTCTTTGTTTATGTAACACATGTAATGCTATCCAGAGCCCTTTCCCTCTCTTCATCTCCAGCAACTATTTGAAGAGTTCCTTTCCCACAAAGTCAGTAAGGTCAGGGCATAGGGAGTAATTAGTCAGGCACTCCATTTTATCCATGTACAGTGGCACAAACATTGAATAGATTAATTTTCTCTGAAACGAGAGTCCAGAACCCTGGAGATGAGCAGTCAGGCCTGAGTAACATGTGGCTAGATGACACTTATTCAGGGGCCTTGATGATCAGTTTGAGCCAAGAGCCAAAAACCCTTCATGTTCAATTTGCAAAGTACAAAAATAATGCATTTATGAGGACTGGAATAGCTGTGTTTACAATGAAGACCTTTTGGATTCTGATGTATAGTGAGTTTCTTAGGCTTTAACCGAAGTGCTAAGATGATTGTTGTCTTGTCTCTTGATGATCTTGTTACCATCATAACAACTGGTAAGGGCCTTACTGCATAGATAGCAGAGTTCTGTTTTCAAACATGTGAAACAGAAGATCTAATGAATACTACAGAAAACTAGAACATTATGCGTATTTAAAACATAAGTCTTTTTAGATTTAAACAAGCAGTTTTTATTTTTATTTAATCCTCACTTAAGGATATGTTTATTGATTTGAGAGAGAAAGAGGAAGGGAGACAGAAAGAGAAACATTGATTGATTGCCTCCTGTACAGGTCCTGACTGGGGATCAAACCCTGTAACCTTTTGATGTACAGAAGGACACTCCAACCAACTAAGCCACCTGGACAGGGCACACATATAGTTCTTAGATGTAGGAGTAGGCAGACAATGAGCCAAGGGCCAAATCCAGCCTTCCATCTGTTTAAATAAACTTTTACTGGAATACAGCCATTCTCTTTCATTTATGAATCATTTCTGGCTGCTTTCTATATGGGTCAAGTTCAGTAGTTGTGACAGAGACCACATGGCCCACAAAGCCTAAAATATTTACTCTCTGGACCTTTACAAAAAAGTTTGCTGACTGACCCCTGCTTTGGAAAGTTTGTTCTGTGTTCAATAAACAGTAATTTAAGAAATCTAAATTATATTTATAAATAAATGAAGTCTATTGATATAAAACGATGAATTCAAAGGCACTTCTTAAACATCTTTTGGTATTCCTTTTAGAGAAGTACTAAAAATATCAATATGAAAAGAGAAAGTAATATTAGTATAAAGTTTCAAGATAACTTCCTTTACTGCTTCTGAATAGAGATGGATACGAATTTAGCCAGTGTTTACCTAAGAATAAAATCATCAGAAACCAACTTCACTAGAAAATATTTTTTTAAATGCCTGTTAACAGGAGTAACTATAAAAAAGATTTCAGGGATGCAGCTGTTCTTTTTGTAACTGAATACCTCTACAAAGAGTTTGGCATACGTATTAAAATCTTAGAAACGTCTAATGTGTGTTACCATGAACTGTTCTAGGTATATCCAGGTCCTCCTCAAAGTGGTGCTTACCTGGTTGCAGGGAATGCCCAGATGAGCCATCTCCAGAGCTACAGTCTTCCCCCAGAGCAGCTGTCTTCTCTCAGCCAAGGAGCACTTCCACCGTCTGCAAACCCAGCGCTTCCTAGTCAGCAGACTCAGGCTTCTTATGCTAAGTAATTTCATTATTGACTGTTATTTGAAGTTAGTCTTATTAAAATTCTTAAGTGCCCCTGATCATTTGTAACCATAAGAAAAATCTAAGAAAACTGCATAATAGATGTTATCACTAATGCCAGACAGTTAGCACTGTTTGTGGTCATGAGTGGGTTCTACAGGAACCCCTGCAGTGTTGCTGCACTAGCCAGCAAGCTAGTCCTGTCTTACTCATTGAACTGTTGTATTCTGGTTTTAATTCTGTCATAATTTGTTTTTGCTTTCATTTGAGTCTATGATGGTATTTGCCAAGGACTTCAATGAAACTTTTAATAACTATATTTTCTACAAATTTCATAAAAAATCAAAATGTTTTTGTTATCATTGTTTCAGAATTTATGGTTCTGGGTTGTCTCTGAAAGACAAATGTTTCCCTTTTTGCCCTGTGTTGGAATTTAGTATATATCACTGCAAGATAAATCGCTTGAAAAGAGACAGTTCAAGAAGTTAGTTGCCCCTGTGGTTCATAGAGCAAGTATCTGAATGTAATAGTGAGTCCGTTAGGCCTTAACTGAAGTGCTGAAATGACTTTTGTCTTCTTTCTTGCTGATTGTGTTACTATCTGAACAGCAGGTAAGAAGGAACCTTATTACTACATAGATAGTATAATGCCCCCTATGACGTAGTTAAATGATTTTATATTATGTAAAATAAACGCCTTTTCTGCTTCATTGTGAATCCTAGCTGAAGTCTTTCCCTCAAAACAAAAGATAGGCTTTAGTGTGTAATTCTAGAAGTTGTAATATTCTGACTCAAATAGGAGTTTCTTGGTGGCACAGATGCAATTTCTAGAAACCCTTTCTTCAATATTGGAGTTGCCCTGGAATGGTCCTATACTGACCTTACTGTTATTTTATTCCTCCTCAAAAGAGTCACACTCTAGCCCTGGCTGGTGTTGCTCAGTAGATTGAGTGCCGGCCTGTGAACCAAAGGGTCGCCAATTCAATTCCCAGTCAGGGCAGATGCCTGGGTTTCAGGCCAGGTCCCCAGTAGGGGGTGTGCGAGAGGCAACCACACATTGATGTTTCCCTTTCTCCCTCCCATCCCCCTCTCTAAAAATAAATAAATAAATAAATAAATAAACAAACAAACAAATAAATAAAATCTTCAAAAAAAAAGTCACATTCTAGGGGTGCTTAGAGATTTGCAAATATTTTGTGGTTACATCTAGTATTGTGCAGTGACCTTAAGAAGGAGGGTAATGAGGAGGCCTGTTATGACAACAAAAAACAGGGTACACCCTACTAAGTAGCTCAGGAAAAAAAAATGTTAAGTGTAGCTCTTTTGTCCCAGGACTTTTTCTTAAGTTGAAATTTGGTGAAAATGAATATCCTTATATAGAAAAGGAGTAAACAAGGAACAGCTATTAGAAGAGTAGCATGCTGTCTTAAAAACCAAATGCGTAGAGGTAGGTGCTGAAAAATCATCCAGTGTGCATGAGTTATGTAGGAACCTCTTAGATAACTTAGTATCATCCAGAAATGCTGCCTCTTTCCCAGCTAGTCTTCTGTTACTATGTCACATTCTGCTCTAGCTACCTTGTTCCTGGAGATTATTTGAGATCTTTCTTAGTTCAGGGCCTTGAGAAATTTCCTTGTAAATGATAGAATCATTTGCTGGGTATTTAACCATGCCATGCCATAGAGCTGTAACACTTGGTTGCTCTGTTGTGGGTGGTTTTCTGTCTGCTTTTGCAGTCTGGATGTGAAATCTCTGGCACCTGCACTGTATTCCCTACTCTGACTCTACTGATGCACTGTAGCTGTTAATGCCATCTCTCAAACATGTGTGCACTTCAGTAGTTACTTGTGTAGGTAGAGAGCATTTCCTTGAAATCTTTAGCTCTCTTTGGCTAATTTCCTATTTATTTGTTCATAGCTTTGTTTTTACTAGGACACTTTTCCACCACTCCAGTCCTGTTCTGGCTCTGACTGTCACAGGACCCCAACACACTGTGTACTGTCTTTTAATCACCTTTAGACTTACCTGTATCTGCACTAAGCTGTAGGTATCATGAGAGCTGGAATTGAGTCTCTTTTACCTTTATATCTATGCTGTGTAGCACAGGGTTTTACACCTGGTAGGAACTCAGTATTTGATAAATAAATGTTTAAGATGGGAATTTCAAGTGCTGTGTTAGGCCAGTAGGATATACTTTTAAATTGTTTACAAAGGCTTCACAAAAGGCTTTGAGGCAGTTTTTAAAAAGATATATAAATGTATAACGTAATATGTAAGAACACTTACACAGGTTGGGCAAGAGTAGGTTTACAGTTGTAAGTACATGGGACAGTTTATTCTTACACTATTATTTATTAATTAGTGTATTTTCCATTTAAACAACTGTGTTTAATTCAAACTTTCTAATTGCAAATCAAGGTCAATGGGGATTTCTTTTTCTGTTTTTGGTGGGGAGATTTTTTGTGGCCCTAGTTCATATATAGAAGGTAATTCCTTATTTTTTTACATATAATTTTGGTACTAGGGTTATCACTTTTCCAGACCCCGTCACCCTAGGATGATCTTACTGATTAATTGGGAAAAGTAATATGGATGCAGTTTCCTCAGCCCACCCGTAGTGATGGTGGTGTTGATAGTACTCAGGCAACCAAAGCCGTGTACATATTTGTCTATTATTTCAAGTTACTCTGTTGAACAGATGTTTATTGAACATTTAGTGCATGCCACACTTATGCTAGACACTTGACATACAAGTGTGAGTTTTCCCCCCACTCCAGCTTTATTGAGACATAACTGACATACAACATTATGTAGGCTTAAGGTATAAGACTTGATTCAATACATTTATATGTTGCAAAATGATTACCACCATAGCATTAGCTAACAACTCCATCCCATCACATAATTACCTTTTTTTAATGGTGAGGACATTTACTCAGCAATATTCAAGTACATGATAACAGTATTATTAGGTAAAATCACCATGCTATACATTAGATTCTTAACTTGTTTGCCTTACAAATGGAAGTTTGTACCCATTGTCTAATAGCTCCCCATTTCTCCCTTTCCCCAACCCTTGCTAAGCACCTCTCTACTCTGTCTTAGTTTGACTTTTTTAGATTCCACTGAGATTCCAATGAGGTCATACAGTATTAATCTTTTTCTGTCTTACTTATTTTACCTAGTGTAATGCCCTCAAGTCTCATCCAAGTTGTTACAAGTAGCAGAAGTTCCTTTTTCTCATGGTTAAATAATATTCCATTGTGTGTGTGTGAAATACACTGTGTCATTTGTTCCCATTCATCTGTTGATGGATGCTTCAGTTGTTTCCATATTTTGGTTGTTTTGAGTAATACTGCAGTGAACACAGGGATGAAAATCTCCTTATAAGATCCTGATTTCAGTTCTTTGCGATATATAGTCAGAAGCAAGACTGCTGGATCATATGGTAGTTTAATATTTAATTTTTTGAGAAACTTCCACACTGTTTTCCAAGTGGCTGCACTAATTTACATTCCCACCAGCACTGCTCAGGGTTCCCTTTTTTCCATATTCTTGCCAACACACAAATACTTGTTACCACTGGTCTTTGACAACCATTCCGACAGGTGTGAGGTAATGTCTCGTTGTGGTTTTGATTTGCATTTCCCTTATGATTAGTGAGTGATATTGAGCATTTTTCTTGTCCCATAGCCTATTTGTCTTCTTTGGAAAATAGTATATTCAGTTCCTCTGCCTCTTTTTATTTTATTTTTTTATTTTTTTATTTTTTTAAAGAATTTATTTATTTCTTTTTAGAGAGGGAAGGGAGGGAGACAGAGAGAGAGAAACATCAATGTGCGGTTGCTGGGGGTCATGGCCTGCAACCCAGGCATGTACCCTGGCTGGGAATCGAACCTGTGACACTTTGGTTCACAGCCCGCGCTCAATCCACTGAGCTACGCCAGCCAGGGCCCCTCTGCCTCTTTTTAATGTGGTTATTAGTTCCTTTACTATTGAATTGTGTGAGTCCTTTATATATTTGGATATTAATCTCTCACTAGATACACGATTGGCAAATATTTTCTCCTATTCCATAGGTTGTATTTTAATTTTGTTGCTCTTTTACTCATCAGAGCTTTTTAGTTTGATGCAGTCCTAATTGTTGCTGCTGTTACTTGTGCTTTTGCTGTCACATCCAGGAAATTGCTGCTGAGATCAATGTCAAGGAGTCCTTTCCCTGTGTTTTCTTTAGGGGCTTTATGGTTTCAGGTCTTAGATTTAAGCCTTTAATTCATTTCAGGTTCCTTTTTCTCTGAGTGGTATAAGACAGGGATCCAGTTTCATACTTCTGCATATGGTTATCCAGCTCTCCCAACACCATTTATGGAAGAGACTGTGTATTTCCCATTGAGTATTCTTGGCTCCATGGTCATATTAATTGACCATTGATTTAGAATTTCTTACCTCCATGTGCTTACTGGCTAGTAGAAGAAACCATACAAATAAATTGTAATTATAATATAAATTACAAATAAGGTACATGCAGGGTACTTTAGGAGCCTAGGGGTTCAGGGCAACTTCCTAAGAGAATAAGCTCAAGCTGTGTTATTCTTAAACCTAGAAGAAAAAAGTAAGAAAGATTTTTCTATCATGAGCAAATACATGGCAGTATGAAATGGTGTGGTCCCTATGGGGAACTATGAAAAAACATGTTACCAAAGGGTTAAAGTCTGTGGTGGGAGAAATGAGAGATATACTTGGAGTTATTGACAAAGATAATGAATGGTCCTAGGTATCATGTTAAGGATCTGGGGTCCTCTCTTGGAAAGCCCCAAAAGGCCTTACTTTAAATGACATTAACGTAAGCAAATTCATAGTTTCTAGATTAGAAGCTGGGAGATTATATTAGACAAGAAATTATGAGTGTCTAATTGCAAGATATAATGATAGAGATGGAAAAAGAGTTGCTTAGGAGATTAGCAAAGAATATCACGTGGGTGACAAGGTGGGGACATAGTGCAGAGCAGATATGAGAGAGAAATTATTGGGTGAATTGCTTTGTTTTACCCTTGGGCAACTGGGTGAATGAATGGTGGAATTATATATTGAGATAAGGAATATAGTACAAAGTGCAAATAATTACAGTAATAGCTAACATATTGTGGTATTCAGTAAGTGCTAAGCACCGTACTATAAGCTTTACACATTAACTCATTTATTCTAATAATCTGTGAAGAAGTAGGTACACAGTTACCACATGTTATAGATGAGAAAACTGAGGTATGGAGGACGGACTAAGGTTCCACTTAACTAAGATACAAAACCAGGCATTTTGGCTCCCAGAGGTTTAGCACTTAACCCCAATTTGATATAGCAGTATTGTGGCCCTTACTGATGAAAATAATTTCATGAAATATGACTTCTTGTAATACTTTTATCTCGTAAAGCAGCACATGTGGAATGGTAATGCCTTTAAGCATAACTTAAGTGGCTGCAGTAGTTGGTATAATGTAGGACTTCAGTTATAATGATGAATTGTTTAATTTGTGCAGAGTGCTAGAACATTGAGTTCACCAGCGATTGATTTATAAACATTCTAGCAATTGAATAAAAGTTTAGAAATAGGCAATATTTTGAAAATAGCCCATTGTGTAGTTTTACATTTTTAATAGAAATGTGGGGAAAATCTCAGTGTTCAAGCTGCTAGTACTTCTCTTGATAGAACTAAATTAGTGTCCTATACATGGTAAAAACTCAACTATCAGGCTGGGAATGGGGAGGAAAGCAGAGACAGTGAACAAAAACAACTTGGAAGGAATTTTTTTGGTGAAGTGGGAGCAGTGTACCAGTGGAGGGCGCCTTGCATGGGAGCACTGGCAGCCGATGAATTGTAGCCCAGGAAAGGCACAGTGTGCGAATGGGTGCAGGAACAGATGGTTGATAAAACATGGTGGGAGTAGATGGAAAGTCTCTTTTACTTGCCTCTGTATTTTCAGGGAAATAAGAAAAACAAGGTTATCAGACTTTCATCTCCCCTAGTCCACCAGGGTTGCTCTTGTGAAGGACTGGTGATTTCCATATTGCCAGATCGAATGGTCACTTCCTTTTTGAAATTCTTGGCTATGACCATTTCTCTTAGTTTTTCTTCTACTTTATTGTCACTTTTTAGTCTCCTTTGCCTAGTGCTTCTCTATTTTCCTGACTTCCAGGTGTAGGGCTCATAATATGGGCTGCTTTTTTCTCTGTAGTCATTCCCTGGGGGATCTTATTCAGCTCCACAACTCTGAATACCAAGTATATGCTGATGACTCCCAAATATATATTTCTAGTCCTAATTCTCCCCTGGTCTCCGGACTTGAATAGCTGACCATCTGTTCATTATCTTTTCTTGTACACTTCCTAGATATCTCACTTGACGTGTCCAAAAACTGTGTTGATTATCCTTTCCCAAACTTACTGTAATCCTTATCTGCCATCTGTAGTCTTTTTCAGCGAATGACCACTCCTATCAGTTATTTGTACCAGTAATGTAATTCTAAAACCTCAGGCATTCTTGACCACTAGCAGATTTGAAGGTACTGCCTTCAAAATCTTACCCTTTCTTCCCTTCTTCACCAAGTCCACCATGGCCCTAGCCACCTGTCAGCTCTTACCTAGACAGCTATAACAGCCTCCAGTCAGATATCCCCACTTCTATCCTTTGCCCACAGTGAACCTGTTAAAACCTCAGTGAAGCACATCATTTTTTTGTCCAGAAAAATCAACTAGTGTCTTTCCATCTCACTCAAATACGATCCAGAATCTTTGCTGTGGTCTGTACGGCACTGTATATTCTAAGGCTTCTTTCCCCTTTAATCGGCCCCTTTAGTGTACGCTACCCTCCTTGCTCACTCTGCTTTGGCCATCATGGCCTCCTTTCTGGTCCTTGAACATGCCTGGCATTTTCTTTTCATGAAGGTTTCTGTGCTTGCCGTTCTCTTTGCTTGATCAGCTGGTTTTCCTGTGTAGTGGACATGACTCCCTCTCTCACTTTTTTCAGGTCTCTGCCTAAATTTTTCTCCTTATCTGAAATGCCTTCTCCCACCACACTGTATATAAGGCAGAATCTCTTTTCTTAGGAGCTCTTGGTCCTCCTACTATGCTTTATTTTTCTTCATACCAGTTATTACCACATGACATATTATAAATTTGTGTATTTTTTTTCCTCCTACTAGAATGTGTCATGACGGTGGGGACTTTTTTTCCTTCTGATTTTTTACTATCCCAGTGCCTAAAGTAACAATGTTTGACTTATTATGGGTATTTAATAAATATTTATTTATTGAATGGATTGAATGAATGTTTAATGAATACCTTCTCCTGTGTATCATTAAATGGGTATGTAAGTCAATATTGATCTGTTTTTTCCCTTCCGCAGCACAATGGTCAGTTCTGTTCAAGGAAATACATATCCCAGCCAGGCTTCAGTGTACAGTCCTCCTCCTGCTGCTGCTGCTGCTGCTGATGTCACTATATACCAGAATGCAGGAACTAATATGTCCCATGTGCCAAACTATAACTTAACATCCTCAGCGTTGCCTCAACCAGGAGGCAGTCAACAGCCACCTCAGCCACAGCAACCATATTCTCAGAAGGCTCTGCTATAGGATTTGGGATTCCTCTTTGATCTGCTAAATGCCACTGAAAATGTTACGCAATTCTTTGATATCTTAAGGTTTGTTTATCCTCAGCTTATAGGAATCTGTCTTGGTCAACAAGTTCAAATATTCAAGACATTAGAACTCTCTTCAATTTGCACTGACTTTTAAGAGGTTTTCCCTTCCCCCTCCCCAGAGGAATGAAAACTACTTACAACATTTAATTCCTTTCATAATATGAAAGAATCGATAAAAGATTATTTGTCTCATAAAATTACCTGGTCTGCAAAAAGTCAAACTTACAACAGTTGTTGTGGCAAATGTTATGTACATATATTGGTATATAAGTTCATTAGTGGCCATTTTGAATCACAATGGTGATCATGTGAATATATTTAACACTTAAATTAATTTACATTGCTATTTTATTTTAATCATGAACAACTACCATGTTTCATAATGTTTTGTGTAAATTTAAGATAATTACACTATCCTTTTAAACTGCAAGAGAACAAAGCTGTAACATAATTACGTGAAGGTATTATGTTGTCAAATGTTTTTGTTTTTACATGAAACTGAACTTTCCTTTGGTTGTGAGATAAACATATGTACATTATGTCCTTCTGTAGCCTCTGCATACTACTAGCTGTCATCACACCAGCATACAGTAGCTAAATTTTGGTGCAGTTATAGCAAATGATGTTCCCTTTTAAACTTACACATTTTGGCATGATATTTCAGAGGATTGTGGGACCATGAGACAAAATTAATGAGTGGGATCATGTTCTTTATATCTTATTTTTAAAGAAATAATGTTGATTTACCTTTTTCCTTTTGAAGATAGTAATTAGATTTATAAACTGTATACTGTGTCTATTGGTGGCAGTGACACCAAAGATAGAGGCAATGGACAGAAATTTTTAAACTGGAAAGAAACCATGAATAACACTACATTTTCAAAGTCTCTTGTAATTACTTAGGATATTAAAAAAATGATTCATTTGTCTTATTCTACTATTAGTCTTTTAAATATGTCTTTAACACCTTGTATCCTTTAATTCTTCATTAAAATCAATATAAGCAGATGTTTCAAAGTAATCAATATTCCTGGCTTTGCTTAACAGTTTGTACATTTATTCTTATCTTTCAAACTGGATGGGGCTGTTCTCTCTCATTTTCAAGTTCTGATGGAATTAAGTTGGCTTCCTATTCAGGAGTATTTTTCAATGAATGCCTTTTTTTTTTAACGCACATGAAATGTTTTCCACTGACATTTTAATCTTCTTAAATATTTATAATTTTCCTGGTTGTGCTATACTATCAGTTGAAAAGTTGAGCATCACATTAAATGGATTTAACAGATTTCACACCATAAATGAAAATTTAATTTCCATTTTCTAAGACTGTTATAATCAGATAACATTTTCCCTTCCCTTTTGACAAATGGTTCCATCTTTACAAGGAATCTTAATGGTGACTGAATCATAGTTTCAGATTTAAAGCACCATCTTCAACGTAAGTGTTTTACCCTGGTGTTGTGTTTTCCAACTTTAGAATATGCTGCCCTCAAATGGAAATTTTTAAATTTGAATTCAAAATTTACATTTGAAAAATTTTAATGTGTAGTTCTTTCGATAAACATGTCAAACAGATCGTAATCTTTATTCCAATTTAAATATTCTGATTTCACTGATACTTTTTTCCCATTATAGTGTATTTTTCTCTCTGTCTTTTTGATAAATTTCTGTTGATCATTGGTGAGTGTATCATTTCCCCATTTTATCTTCATGCTTTCTTTATGCTAATATGCTTCAATTACATATTCTCTTACTTGCTTTGTACTACACAAAAGTCAAAGAACGGTAAAAATGAAAAAAGCTACCCTTATTAACTATTACTATTGGTTTACTTACCAACTGTACTAATTATATATATACAAATATACATTTTTAAACTTATTATATTAGTGTGTTTATAAAGATATTAATGATGAATACTTAATACTGATACTATATGAGTTTGTGCTTTTCATTTGTTAGCTGTAAAAATGCCAGGTGGAAAAATTCCAATGAAAAGAAACCACTGGATTTTCTGTCTGTTAGATGACATGGCGAGGACAGAAATAGCGAAGGACCAGTTAGGAGCACAGTGATTTTGTCTGAGCCCAGTGTTGCATGTGTTGTACTTAAAAAAAAAAAAAAATCTCTATAACAATCTTTTTTTTTAAAGAATGGCTTATAAAATGAACTAACTATAATATGAATTTCTGTGAAGCAAATTTTACTTCTTAATTTATTTTGTGTATAAAGTTTTAAAGGTGTAGCCATAAACCAGTTACATCTAAATAAAAAAACTAAGTTCTGTTACTACCTAACATAAATAGCCAACACACCCCGTGACCAAGGATGTAATAGCAGTGCCCTAAACCTACTGGAAGCGGTATGTAGTGTGTCACATACTCTGACTTGACAGTGTTTTCTGACACTGTGGCCCTCTTCACTGTTACCGATCTCTCCTCAGGAAGGGACCTCTTTATACTAAAAATTTCTGGAGCTTTGTTTCTATACCTCTTAATTTTTGTACTTAAAATGCTTAATAGACCACTAGTAGTCTTTTTTTATACAGTTTTCATATATGACATGTATAATTCAGCTTGCAAATATTTTTAGTCCAGAGTTTCAAGTTTACATAAGACAAATTAATACCCTTTATGATAAACTATGCAGCTATAAAAACTATAAATTACTTGTTAAAATGAAGTCCATTGATGTAATTTGGCCATATTTTTATCTGTTTAGTACAGAAAGAGCAGTTTTCTTTTTCTCATACAGATTTCCTTGGTTTACTTAACCAACTGTACTAATTATAGTTTCCTGTTACATCACTTTTAAAATATTTAATGCTGTAGTTTAATTTTTTCATTACTGTGTTATTTTCTAATATTTTTATTTTTGTTGATTAACTGCTTATACCCCTTAGAATAAAATACATAGAGGAAAACTACCTAAATAGGTTGTAAAAACCTTTGTCTAGTTACCATTTGTTTCAGAAGAGTGTTTTGATGCAGTGCTCTTGCCAGGTGCCTAGATTCTTTTCTGTACTGTGTGTAGAGACATGTGCCCCAGGTTTTTAAGCAAAGCTGTCTGAGCTTTAAGTATTCTTTTTTTCATATGATCTTCCTTTAAAATTATAAAACTTAGTAATTTTTTCTAAAGTTTTCCTAGTTTTGACAATATAGTCTCAGAGTTTAAAATCTTAGGTTTTCTTGTTCAAAAGTATTTAACATTTTATTAGTGATAACTTAGGGTCATGCTGAACTTAGATGCATCTATCTTCGGACTCGAGCTAATGCTAATACTTTCCACTGCCATCATTGTCTTTTTGCTGCTTCTCATAGACACAGAATTTCTGATAAGGATTGCATGTTAAAGTAATAAGAGTCAACGGCCCCTGGACAAAAGTAAAAGGTACTGGTTTTAATGATCTTTTTGGTGGTCAGAGACTTAAAAAAAAGTTTTGTGATACCTCCATCAGTAACAAATATTTTTGAGTATATAGCCTCAAAATATGTATGTGTATATGTTTTTACAAACTGTACAAGTTCTGTGTAAATATGTATTGTACATTTTAAAACATACAAAAAAATAGAAGTCTTAAAAGAGGGTGAGTGAAAAAATTATTAATGGAAAAATCAAGTATTTTTTCCCATATCTCTGGTTCCCTTAGCCAGTGCCCTAAGATGTGTGTATACCCTATTTGGAGACCACTGTTTTAGATGTGAAAATTAAACAGAGAAAGGGAGTAGGATATTAACTAAGTTGGCCCCTTGAAGTAAGTATCTGATACTGTGTAAGTTGTACTTTCCCGAGCAACTTTTTATGTTGAAGATTTTCAGACCGGCAGAAAGCTTGAAAGAATAACATGTCGAATACCCACATATTCTTTGTCTAGATTCACTGGTCATGAACATACTGTCACATTTGCTTTTTTATGCATGTTTATATATATATAGGTACATGTTTATGTATGTAGTTAACACTTATCTATGTATACACACATACTTAATTGTATGAATAGGCAAGTTCTAGACATTGTAAAGTACTAAGTATTTTCATTATGTATTTTATAAGGATAAGCACATTCTTCTCAGGGTAGGTATTGGGTTGGCCAAAAAGTCTGTATGGTTTTTTTCCATAAAGTAAAACACACAGTCTTCATTTTCACAAATAACTTTATTGATTTGGATATTTGAGTATGTCTGCTATGTCTTGCATGGTAGAATGTTGATTATTCTCAGTTACTGTCTCGATTTGATTGCTATCAACTTCACCTGGTCTACCCAACTGTGGAGCATTGTCCAGTGAAAAATCTCTTCATAAACTTCTATTGACACATTTGATGAGTCACAGCACCTTCTCCATACACTGCATAAACCTTTTTTTGCATTTTAGCTACATTTCTACCTTTCTTGAAATAAGGCCTATGTTTTATAATAATAATATAAAATGTGTGTTTTGTTCCATCTTCAATATTAAATTGACCATACAGAAATTCACCAATTTTGGTAAGTTTTTAAAAAATGCATTTGATAGGACAGTGGTCACAACACAACCTGACAAAATTGTTTTAAATGAAGTTGAAGACAACTAATGCTACTAGAGCCATCTTACATAAAAAAAACAAACAAACTTTTTGGCCAACCCAGTACATACTCTTGTATGTCGTAATGGAAAATCATCAGGAAAATTGTTTTCAAAATATTAAGCCAAAGAGGATAGATTAATAGCTAAAGAAGCTGAGTTTAGGTAATACATTTTAGCAGTTTTTTTCAAAAGGAAACATTTTGAGATTAAAAACTCTGAAGTGATATTTTCCATTTTTGACTAAGAGCTACGTATTACTAAATTAAAGTAGCCTGATCTAAGTTACTGTGTTTAATATCTTTTGAAAGTGGTATTTCCTTATGTTCTTTTAATTTAGTAATTTACAGTTTTAATCAAATGCTGCTTATAACTCATTTTTTCTTGACATTTATTCCAAGAGCTACTGTGTGAGAAATGAAAATTCTATAGAGGATACTTACAATCAACATAAGATAAACCCGAATGTCGCCAGTGGTTTCTAGCAGATAACTCTTGCATATTGGACTTGAATTATAAATTGATGAACTGGAGCTCGTAGTAGAACACAGTGAATTCTGTTGTGATGCACACCCGTGTTGTAAATGTCACCACGCTGAGTGTAATTGTGAAATAAAAAGCCCGAGGGCTTATGGCCAGAGTGGGTTTAGAGGCACAACACCAACACTTCAGCAATAACACACTTAAGAATAAAGATGGGAACCTAATAAAATGCACGGTTTTACACGTTACATGGCTCATGAACAAATGAGTATTACAATAAATATGGCACTTTACCTTGAAAAAAAGACCTGAAGTGTGCCTAAGGAAGTGGGTGTTGGAAAGGTTGTATCTTGTGAGTTACTGTGAAGGTGGAAGGAAGGACTGCTGAAATTGGAGGTCAAGTTGTGACACTGTATGTGGGTGAGTTTAATTCAGGCCTGGCAGGGAACCTCACCAAGGTTGCTGCTGGGGGGGGGGGGAGGCGGGGCGGGGTATATGTGTTGTGTGTTCCTGTGTAGCTCAGTTCAGCTGGGTGTAGTTTTCTACATTTTACCTAATGTTTGTCCTGGACAAAATCATGCAAAAAACAAAAACAAAACAAACAGAAACATGTGTTTGCTGATACTGTTTCCTAGTATTTCAGTCTCCTGCAACATGTTCGTGTTTTTCAAACGATTCTTATATCAGAATTGACTATTTGGAGATGGAGAATGAATGGCTACTCATCATTTCTAACTTTAGAAAAATACATTTTATATTTAAGCAATTGATGAGAATGAAGGACAGCTAGTATACAAAACTTTCTTCCCTCTTATCAGACCTGAAAGTATCCCAAATAAACATGAGCACATTCAAAGAATTACATATTTTGCTTAAATTCAGTCTATGACAAATTACATGCCCTACAATCCTGCCCCATCCCTGGCCCTGCAAAAAAGGAAAAAGAGGAGGAAAAGGATAATAATTTTGAGTAAAATGG